AAAAAAAAAAAAAAAAAAAAAAAAAAAGGAAAACAAAAGAAGAGAAAAGAAAAGGAAAAGAAATAGAGGAGCAAACCAAACAACCAGCAAATTGTGCTTAATCATGTGGACTCAGCCAGTTATTCTCCACCTCTACGTGTACTTAATATCAAAGAAAGGACTCCATATTTACAGAGAGGATAAGGAAATCTACTCCTCTGCTCTTTCTAGAACTGCTAAAGGTCATAGGAACTGGGCACCTGGTAGCTGCTGAGGAAGGGCAAAGCCTGACTTGCACTTGGACAGTTTGCCAATCTGTTTGTGGTAAATTTATGTCATTTGTAATCACTCCCAGTGTGTTCCAGGAAGAAACTATTTCTGTTGCCAGAATCTCTCCATCTCAGTGCCCTAAGTAAACCCTCTGATTCTCAATCCTCACCCCACCTCTTGCTTAATTTATGCAGCTCTTTTCTCGGACCTTGAAATAAACCTCTGACCAGTGCCTGGTCCAACAAGCCACTTCAGACCCAGCAAACAGGTAAGTGGGTATTATAGGAGGAGGGCAACTCTAACATGGGTTCCACCTCTTTCATCTTGGGGAACTGTCAGGATAATTTTCTAACCAAAAGATCTCAGCAGTAATGGAGCTTAAGCAGGAGACAAATCTGCTTCTGGGTTATAGGATCTGTATAATCTCCAAACTGTACAGAGAAATTTTGAGGGTGTGGGTTTCTCAGGTGGCCTTGCTGCCATCAGGAATTCAGAGACAGGAAGCTATAAAGAAGGTAACTATGTACTGCTCTTCACTGCTCAAATTCTCTTCCCTGTGTTCTCCTATAGAGATTTCTGATTTGCCCCTTAAGCAAGAGATTCCCTGCTACTCAGCATGGCTCAGGCCAACGCATGCTTCATGCTGATCTCCTGCCTGATGTTCCTGACTCTGAGCCAAGGTGAGATTTTTTTCCCCCACACCTCCCACAACCCAAACCCTGAAATCTTCACTCCATCCTCATGCATATGGGTTCACTTGGGAAAAAGCAGAGTCAACATCAGGGGTTGTTTTGTGTTGTTCAGTGATCTTTATTGCTGATCTCATTCCACTCACAAACTTCCTCACCTCAGCGGGGAGTTAGAGATGGAACTTAGCATGAGCCTTTATCAGTGACCACTGCAATTGGCGCTGGTTTATCATATTAACTCTATTCATAATCAGGGGTTTGGGGATGTCTGTATGTAGACAGTCATTAGTGGAATGGGCAACTGGAAGGAACTTTGTGTGTAGAGAAATCAGACAGGCTTGAGAAAGACAGAAGCCTTTAAGGCAGAAAAAGCCTGAGCCTCAGAAGTAAAAGGGACAATGGGGATACATTTCATTCGCCTATTAATTTTGCACTCCTGTCTTGAGTAAAGACATCTTGAGAGAGAAGTGGTAGGGTGCAGGAGGGCAGAAGTGACCAATCATCCATGACCTACTAACTACATCTTTCTGTTCCTATATAGGAACCTCAGAAGCTCATACCTCACCATCCAGCCTTTGCCCTGCTCTGAGGGTCTTTCTTAATTGTTCTTTCTGTTTAAGGCCAAGAGGTCCAAACAGAGTTGCCCCAAGCCCGGATCAGCTGCCCAGAAGGCACCAATGCCTATGGATCCTGCTGCTACTACTTTAATGAAGACCTTGAGACCTGGGTTGATGCAGATGTGAGTGAGGAGAGCAGTGTGGGAAAGGAGGCTCATGAAAGGAGGGGAAGCTGCCTCTCTCCAGTGTGTTCAGTGGCTGATACGAGGTGAAACTAATCCTCTCCTCATCCAATCATCAGCCCCAAACTTTTCAATCTACTTTATCCCATCATTCAGTGCAGAGATGCTGGTGGTCAGTGACAGCATCATCAGGAACATTTCTGTGCTGTCTTTTAGCTGTCACACCTCCTATAAGGGCTCAGTATGTTCTTCACACTTTCCATCTCCACTGAGTGCTCCATTTTCCTCTCCAACAGCTCTACTGCCAGAACATGAATTCAGGCAACCTGGTGTCTGTGCTCACCCAGGCCGAGGGTGCCTTCGTGGCCTCCCTGATTAAGGAAAGTAGCACTGACGTTGGCAGTGTCTGGATTGGCCTCTATGACCCCAAAAAGGTCAGTCTATAGCCTATTTTATCTCTTGATTATCAATTTTGAGAAGAAAGAGGAAGTCCAAGGTTTGGGAACCCTAGAAACAGCTTTTATCCTTTCTTATTTTTAATAAAAGGTATGTCTTTATAGATTCTATGATGTATGAGGCAGTGAGATTCAGTGTAGGTGGTTGGAGAGATGAGTGGAACCTGGATATCCCAGGTGTTCTGGGCATTCATTTACACATAAGCTCATTCTACTACTTCTAGGAAAGCATCTTTATACACCACCTCTTACTTATTATTGTCTGTCTTGAACAACATCTCTTTGTAGAGTATATGTAAAAAGAGGCTAGTGGAGGACAATCTACTGACAGCATTTGGGAGCCTGGTGTTATATTAAGCAATATACTGACAATTAATGGGCAACCAATGATATGGTGAATATGAGGGTCAGGAGTCTCAGGAGAGAAAATTAAGAAACCATGTTCTATAATGAGCTTTTATTTTTTTGGTATCAACTTCAGAACATTTATTATTTTGTGGGAGAGAATAGGACATTCCAGGAAAGGAAACACTTAGAGCAAAAGCAGAGGAAAAGATGTTCTATTCATGGGGAAAAAAGGGTTTATTCTTGCTTTATGTTTGGCCTGTTACTGAGTATAGCCCAGGCCAGGTGTCTCTTTTTCCAAGTCACCTCTTTCCCTGCTCTGGCCTTTCTCCATCTAGAACCGCCGCTGGCACTGGAGCAATGGTTCCCTCGTCTCCTACAAATCCTGGGTCACTGGATCCCCAAGTAGTAACAGTCCTGGCTACTGTGCGAGCCTGACTTCAAGCTCAGGTAAGAGGCAGAGAAGCCATCCACCTGTTTACCATTCCCTCCTGCTTAGCCCTGGGGATGAACATAGGAACTGGGATAGAGATGAGATGAGATCTTCATCCAGAAAATGGTGAAGTGTTTTTTCTTGTTCCTTTTCCTGAGTCCTAGATCCAGAGAGGGGCCACACTCCTTTCAAACCCTTCATTCTGACTCTTCTCATTGTGTTGTAGGATTCAAGGGATGGAAGGATGTGTCTTGTGAGGAAAAGCTTTCCTTTGTCTGCAAGTTCAAAAACTAGAAGCACTGGAAAATGGTCCTGCAATTTACTACAGAGTCAAAAATTAAACTGGACCATCTCGCCAACTCAGTTCAAACCCTCTCTTCTCTGTTGACTTTGCATTGATAACCTTCAGTACCTTACCCATCTCTCAGTCACCGGACCCTGAAATAATAAAAATAAACATGTTTTCCCCACTGTTCTGCCTTTTGCATTTGTTCATTCCACAGCCTATGTCTGAATGGTTGGGGTTGGATTAATTATAACATTTCAGAGTTTGTTTTTTACTGGTTCCTTTTTAATGCCTCATTTGTATATCATGCCTCTTGCACTTCCAAACGTAATGTCCTTGCCTATGACAAGTTAAAAGATAAAGATTTCAGCCACATCTCACATGTTACCATGGACCTAGTTTGAGTTAAAGAAATAACTGTGTTGTTGATCTAGAGATGGCTGGAATATTTGGTACTATGAAAGGATTTACATAATTAGGGTCTGAGGAGTCCACATCTATTCTCAAATATGCAAGTTGAATTCATGATTGACGTGATAATTTAAGAAGAATTGTCACGTATAGAAAGACGCCTCCATTGGTGGTACAACAACTGGAGGTTGGAAGACGAGGAAGGTTTGTTAAATGGTGCTACTTGAGTAAATGAATAAATAAATGATAAATAAGATAAAAATCTTCAGGCATATTAATTACCTCATTAAAGATCCCATCTCCAAATACATTCAAATTCTGAAGTACTGTTTTAGAACTTCCACAGATTAATTTTGCAGGGAATTTTCTGCGAGGCAGAGCAAGATGGAAGAATAGAAGTCTCCACCAATTGTTCCCCTGCTGCAGGGACACCAATTTAACAACTATCTACTCAGAAAAAACCCTTTGTAAGAACCAAAAGTCAGATGAGCCTTCACAGTTTCTGGATTTAACTCCGAATCACTGAAAGAGGCACTGAAAAGATAGAACAGTCTTGAATTGCTGACGCCAGCCCTCTCCCACCTACAGCAGCAGCAGTGTGGTGCAGAGTGCATCTCTGAGTGCTTATGAGAAGGAAAGTAAAGCAATTGTGAAGCATCAAACTAAGCACTGTCCTATTGCAGCCTGAAGGAAAACCAGACCAAACTCATGTCTGTGAAAAGAGTCAAACTCTGTAGAATATTTGAAAAGATTTATTCTGAGCCAAATATAAGTGATTAATGGCCTGTGGCACAGCCCTTAGGAGATCCTCAGAACATGTGCCCAAGGTGGTTGGGGTACAGCTTAATTTACACATATTAGAGAGACATGAGACATCAATCAAATACATGTAAGATGTACAAACATTGGTTTGGTCTGGAAGGGTAGGACAACTGGAAGCTGAGGGTGACGGGGATGGCTCTTCCAGGTCATAGATTGATTTAAAATTTTTCTAATGGAAATTGGTTGAAAAAGTTGTTATTATCTAAAGACCTGGAATCAGTAGAAAGTAATGTCTGGGTTATATTGAAAAGAGGTTGTGGAAAACAAAGTTTTACCATACAGATGAAACTTCCAGGCATCCAGCTTCAGAGAGAATAGATTGTAAATGCTTCACATAAAACTTAAGGACTCTGTTCTATCGGTAATTGCAAAAGGGATAGGGTACAATGAGGCATGCCTGACCCCTGCCCACGATCATGGCCTGAACCAGTCCCTCCGGTTAGCCTTGGAATATCGTTGCTGAGAGGAGGATTCCATTCAGATGGTTGGAAGGTTTAGAATTTTATTTTTGGTTTATCCTCAGCTGAAATATGCCCACATATGGAGGATTTAAAGCAGCCCCAGTCAGAGGAGAATTTCCAATCCCAGTAATTGGAGCTTGAATTTCTGCACATCTCACCACTGCAGGCTAAAGTGCCCTGTTCTTTAAATAAACTTGCAAGGCAGTCTAGGCCACAAGGACTGCAACTCATAGGCAAGGCGAGTCCTAGTGCTGAACTGGCCCTAGTGGACAGTGTTTGGGGGGCAGAATGAGATCTACAGAATCACCAACTGTGGTGGCTAAGGGAGTGCTGGTATCACCTTTCTCCCTAACTCCAGGCTGCAAAGCTTGTGGCTTCAAAACAGACCCCTTCTTTCTACTTGAAGAGAAGAGACTGAATAGTGGGGAGGACTTTGTCTTGAATCTTGGATACCAGCTCAGCCACAGTAGGATAGCAAAATGGCAAGAGTCATGAGGTTCCTGTTCCAAGCCCTATCTCCTTGCTTATATTTCTAAACACACACACACACACACACACACACACATTTCTAGACAACCTGCTGCCTTTAAGGGAAGGGCCCAGTCCTGGAAGCATTCATCATCTGCTAACCAAAGAGCCCTTGGACCTGAATAACCAGCAGTGATGCCCACGTTCTAAGTCAAGGGAGTTGGGTGAGCCTCTGAGAATTGCCCACTTCACGGGAGACTCAGCACATTACCAGCTGTGATGGTTATAAAGTGACATTCCTTTTGCATGAGAAGAGCACAGGGAAAATTAAAGTGGACTTTGTCTTGCACCTTAGGTAGCAGCACAACCACACGGGGGTAGAGCACCAAGTGAGCTGTTAGAATCCTTGATTCCATCCATTCCAGGAATTGACCTTTTGACAGCATGTCTGAACCTGCCCTGGGCCAAAGAGTAGCCCACTTCCCTGAAGGGTGAGTCCCAGGTCAGGCGACATTCACCATAAGCTGATTTAAGAGTCCCTGGACCTTAAGGGAACATTGAATAGAATGCAATACTCCCTCCCCATGGCCTGTGATGGCAGTGGCTACAGGGATCTGCTCCTCTGCCTTTGGAAAGAGTAGAGAAGAATGTAAAAGATGGTGTCATTTGGTTTGAGTGCCAGCTTAGCCACAGCACAATAGAGTATCAGATAGACTTCTAACATTTCTAACGCTCATCCCTGCTACTGGACAGCACATCTGGACCTGCCAAGGGCTTGGGAAAACTTGCCACACTGAAGTAAATTGTTTCCTTTGCTGTGCAAAGGCTTTTGAACTTGGTGTGATTCCATTTGTCCATTTTGCTTTGGTTGCCTATGCTTTTGAGATATTACTCAAAAAGTTTTTGCCCAGACCTATGTCCTGAAGATTTTTCCCAATGTTTGTTTTTGTAGTGGTTTCATAGCTTGAGGTCTTTAAGTCTTTAATCCATTTAATTTTTGTATGTGGTCAGAGAGAGGGATTTAGTTTCATTCTTCTGCATATGGATATCCAATTTTCCCAGCACCATTTATTGAAGAGACTGTCTTTTCCCCAGAGTATTTTCTTGACAACTTTGTCAAAAATGAGATCACTGTAGGTGTGTATAGCAGTCACTTCTCAGTCTTCGGAGTAGTCTTCGCCGCTGGCCTCATAGAATGAGTCAGGGAGAATTCTCTTCTCTTCAATTTTTGGGAATATTTTAAAGATAATTGGTGTTCTCTTCTGAATGTTTAGTAGAATTCAGAATCTGCTCCCAAACTTTTCTTTGTTGGGAGACTATTTATTACTGATTGAATTGTATTACTCATCACTGGTTTATTCAGGTTTTCTATTTCTTCCTGTTTCAACTTTGTTAGGGTTGTATGTGGAATTTGTCTACCTCCGCTAGGTATTACAATTTGTTAGGGTATATTTGTTCATAATAGTCTCTGATGACCTTTCTTAACTTGTGTGGTATCAATTGTAATGCCTTTTTCATTCTGATTTTGTTTATTTTATTTTCTCTCTTTTATTCTTGGTTAGAGTAACGAAGAATAAAAGAGAGAAAATATTTTATTAATTTTATCATTTTAAAAATAACATTATGTTTTTCTGATTCTTTATATGTTTTTAGTCACCATTTTATTTACTTATGCTCTGATCTTTAGTATATATTTTCTTTGACTTATTTCCGGTTTGATTTGTTCTTATTTTTCTAGTTCCTTAAGGTGCATCATTAGATTGTTTATTTACAATTGTTCTATTTCATTGATGTAGGCATTTATTGCTACAAGCTTCCCTTTTAGCACTGCTTTTGTTGTATTCCATAGGTTTTGGTATGTTGTGTTTCCATTTTCACTTGTTTCAAGGTATTTTTTGATTTTCTTATTAATTTATTCCTCAACTCTGTGGTCATTCAAGAGCATGCTTTTTCATTTCCATGCGTTTGTATAGTTTCCAAAGTAAAGTTTTCAAATCTTGTTATTATTGACTTCTAGTTGAATTTCATTGTGGTCTAAGAAAATGTTTGATATAATTTTGATTTTTTAACATTCGTTGAGACCTAGTTTTGTATCCTAACATTTGATCTATCCTAAAGAATGTTCCGTATGTTTATGAGAAGAATGTGAATTCTGTGACTGTTAGATGAAATGCTCTGTATGTGGTAGGTCCATTTTGTTGACCACGCAGTTTAAATTCAATGTTTCTTTGTAAATTTTCTTTCTGGATTATCTATCTAATTTTGAGAGTGGGAATGTGATGTGGAAGTTCCTGACTATTCTTCCGTTGGAATCCCTGTCTGTCCCTTTAAATCTAATATTATTTGCTTTATGTATTTTGGTACTTTGATGCTGGGTGCATTTATGTTTAGAATTATTGTATCCTCTTGCTGAATTAATCCTTTTATCATTACACAATTAACATCTTTGTCCCTTTTTACTGTTTTAGATTTAAAGTCTGTTTCATCTGATATAAGTGTAGCTATTCCTGCTTGCTTTTGGTTTACATTTGCATGGAATTTCTTTTTCTATTTCTTTACTTTCAGTGTTTTTACAGGTGATATGAATTTATTATAGTTAGGATACAGTGGAGTTATTTTTCTAAAAATCAATTCAGCCAGTTTTTTAAGTGGAACGCATACTCTATTTACATTCAAAGTTTGTATTGATATTTGAACACTTATTCCTCTCGTTTTATTAATTGATTTCTGATTGTTTTGCACATCTTTTGTTTCTTCTTTCCTCTTCATTGTTAATCATTGTGGTTTGGAGTTTCTCTGTAGTGATAACTTTGGAGTCTTTTCTCTTCCGTGTGTTTGCTTACCAGTGGTTTTGATATTATTATGTTTTCATGATGGTAGATATTGTTCATTCACTTTTGGGTACAGGAATTCCTAAAGCATTTCTTGTAGG